GCCCTCCTGGTAAAGCTGTATTTCAGAATAGTTACAAACATGAACTAAAAATCATTAAGACATCAATGAACACCCACCTTGCCTGCAGTGTTTGTTTTTGATCGTCCTTCTCCTGCGTCTCCACACTCACTGACAGCTGTTCACTGGTTCCAGCTCCGAGTATACAGTCACACATTTGTGTGTGTGTGTTATTAATGGTGTTCATGTGACAGAGTGACAGGTGGAAATAGGAGGTGTTTTGCATGATCAATACTTTATGTCAAAAGACGCAAATTTTCTTTTCACTCTTCTAGTGAACAGGGTCACCTGCAGATCAGCAACACAGGCTGTTATATAATATTTTACAAAGATGGAGTGTGATTATAATTTAGTATTATTTAATAACGGTATTTAATATTAACCTACTTGTAGCTCTGCCTGATTTCTAGCTGAAATGAGTACCAGGTACTGATAACGTATGTAATCAACTAAAATGTGACAATATCCGACTTAATACACCATCTTTTCGTATAAAAAAACAGTTGTCTTACCCTTGTGGTCAAAATTGCTCTGAAGCTTAATTCTGTAAATTATTTTCTAATAAATATAACAACCTCTCATCAATCAATGTTAATTTCAGGCTTAAATGAACAACTTCCGGTTAGCCTCGTCCGAATACAGATACGAATACAGATAATTTAGTTGGTTGAACAGATACAGATACTCGCTCACCCCTACTAGCTGCTCAAAAACAACTACAACATAAACATTTGCTTCGACTTAGCGTTAACTTTTCATATGTAAACCATATCCCTTATATGAAAAATGTGCTTGTTAATGCTAAATAGTATATGAACGCAATGCCTGGCCAAGCTATTAGCCATTACCCAAGCTAGTGTTGATCTACTGACTTTTCATCCAGCAACAGAGTCTTATACTTTAGTTTCAAATTTCATCAAAACTTCCCAACCAACCTTGCCATTAGCCTCAGCTGTATTAAGTTATACTAATTACCAAATGTTGGTATATTAATATGCTAAAATAAGTTGTAAACATAAACACGTTAGCTTCGTCACTGCAGCCATGTTAGCATGTTATTGTTGACTTTTATTTCAACTCTAAACATCTGGCTAACATCAACGATCAATTGATTCAATGCTTCAAACCAAACAGATGACACACTAAATGAAATAGTATTTTTTTATTTTTATTTTATTTTATTTTACAACATATGAGAAAAGCAAGCTGTTAACTGAAGGACAAAACATTAGCTGTGAGACCAGCGGAGTACATGTCAGTGCTTCGTTTCATCTGTCTATTAAACTGGATGTTTGACAGGATTCAATTGACCTGTAAACTAAGACTGCGGCTAATAATTCAAATCAGAGAGCATCATGTGACCCAGGACACCTGAATGCTTGTCAGTCTTGATGTGCTGTTTGACAATCATTTTAAATTTGTGTATTATTATAAAACAAACAGTATAAAACAAACTGTTTGTACAGCGTGAACGTAGCGTATAGAAAGACTCTAATGAATAGAGTTGCAAAGTGAGAGAACAAGACTCGAAAGTTGTTTTTTTTAATGTAAATTCACAATGATGTCTTGTGGTATCATTTAAAAAATACAATTAAAATGATCAGTACAATTGTTTTATTGAAAACTTTTCCACCTCAGCCAAGTATAAAACCTTCTACTTAGGTTTTTTATACAATAATTGAAAATGTGCAACAACAAAAAAATGACGGATGCAAACGCACTTAATGAGGAAGACTTTTACGACAGGAATTACCCGGAATTCCCAAAACTGAAACTCATCACATTTTGTGACTCTTTTAAAGCTTAAAGTCTTTAAAAGCAGTGTGTTTGGCTCCTGGCACCTCGGTCTGAGTCTGCTAACGTTAGCTGTACAAGCCCTGCTTTCTAAGCCTCGCCCGTTTCTGGAACCTCGGTCAACTTTCTGGTTCATGCTAGGTTAATCTATGTTGTTTTTCACCATCATAGTTAGCAAAATGCTAGCTACTTAGCTAGCTAATGACTCGCGTGGATGTATTGACCGAGGCTTGCTCAACTGTGATTGGAGCACAGAGGGAAAAGGGGCGGGACTTCAGAAGGGTGAATTCAGAAGCTTACACAGTGTTTCGTTTACAGCGTGGTAGTTTTCCTACCCGGTGTAAAAACAGTAGCGGTAACACCAGACTGCTGGGCAGCGAGAACCAGGCTACAGACCACATCATTAAACAAATGACGTTGTAGATCATCTGTGAAGAAGAGTACAAGGCGGTGGAAACCAGGTTGCTCAAGAACCTCAACAACAGAGCTCCCATTATTACCATGATGGTGTTGAAAGCCCTCTGCTTTGATTGGTCAACCCGCTCCCTGATCCCGCCCACTTCCCCCGGCCCTGGACGAATCAGAACGCAGAGAACGGAAACGCTGCAGAGAGAGACGACAACGGAGGTGACGAGCAGGAGCGTGAAACTGAAGATGATGTAAAAATAATTAGAGAGTTTAGTCAGACCCAGTGATCCAAAGCAAAATAACCAAACACACCCAATGCTGATGTTTCTGATTCTGACTCCGCCCGCCTGTCTCAGCCCCAGGTAGGTGACGGGGTGAACGACAGCCAGATAGCGCTCCACACAGGTGAGGAGGTGAAACAGAGTCTGTCCAGGTGAGACGATGGAGAAGATGTACATCCCCACTGTCATTACATTTTCTTGATTAGTGTAAGTGCCATAACCGAAGAAGCAAGACCCCAAGATACTGATCAGCTCCAGGAAGACCATGTTGAAGGTGAAGATGTCAGAGTGGCTCACCATCGCTGCTTTCTGTTTCCTCCATCGATTGTAGCCCACGTAGAGGACGAAGATGAAGAGAGGCAGGAGGAGGATGTAGATGACGAAGAGGGCTGTAAAGATGGAATTGCAAACTCCGGAGTCTGTCTTTTTATCAGGTGTAGGATTGAGGGAGGAGTTGGAAGAAGAATTGACTGACATGTTTCATTCGTATGGTTGACTGGATGGACAGAGTGCAGGGAGAGAAACAGTTAGTGAAATCCATTCATCTACAAACAACCAATATAAAAATATATACGAGTTATATTGACAGAGCTTCAGTCTCTGATAAACAGCCTTTGCCTGCATTAGAAAACAATCAAAGAGCGGATAGAACAATGAGAAGAAAACACTGAATCTGTCAGAAAAAACAAGCCTATAAATTATTAAATTCAATCCCATTCCATTCAATTCAATTCAATTTTATTTGTATAGCACCAATTCATAACAGAAGTCATCTCAGGACACTTTTCAAATAGAGCAGGTCTAGACCATACTTATAAAATTATGTATGATTGTTGACTGATAAAAATACATAATACAGAGAATTGTATAAAAAATATCAGGAAAACTTATCTATGAACAATATATACAGGAATTAATCTGCTCAAAATCCATCCAGATGTCTGAAGTTACTGAGTTTACTGTTTGGGTTCATTGTATAGTTTTAATTATAATATGAAATATCCATGCAATATGTCAAACTTTGTTTACTAAATGATAGAAAATGAGTCCCTTACGGAATAAGGTTGGGAACCACTGTCTGAGAAAAACTACTCACTTACTGTGTTATTTAAAGGTTTAACAAAAATGTTCTTCCCACCTTGTCAGCAGTGATTGTTTGTGATCGTCCTTCTCCTGTGTCTCCAAGCTAAGTGCAGCCGTTTGCCGGTTCGAGCTCCACACAATAATGACTGTGTCTGCGGGTTATTAATGACGTTCACGTGTCAGAGTGGAAGCAGGAGGTGTTTTGCATGTTGTACAACAAATCTGTGAAATTTGAGGCTAGATCATAAATCAATGAAGGGAAATTTTCTTTTCTCATTATTATTCTAGAGAACATATCACCTGCAGAACATCAGGTTTTTCCTACACCTCTAGCTATGCCTCATTTACATATAATCATTCACATTTACACTTTTTTAAATATTTTTACACGAACGATGGGTCAAATTAATACATTTAATGTGACAGGTCACTTGTAGTTTATCCCCTCACTACACAGTCAGCTCACATTTGGTTTCTTGAACCACAACTTTGCTGTTTTGGTTGAGTCTCTCAGCTCTCATCAACCGTTTTCAGCAAATAAAAAGCTTGGATAAACCCACTATACACTTCCCGTCAATCACCAACCCAACAAAGTTAGAGACTAGCTGGTGAAGAAAGTGGAACCAGGGTTGGTGGAGAACAAACTGGAGCTAAAAAGCTACTTTAATAATTTCTTGTCCTGGCGTGTTCGGTGGGTATTAGCTAACAGTCACAGGAAGTGAAGTTCAAGTTAAATCACACAAAATGGATGAACTGATACGTGAAGTCTCAGTGGTCCCAATGATAACAATAGCTACAATACAATACTACAATACCCATGAGCCTCAGCTGCCATTATATTGGATACAAACTAATGGAATCTCTTGGGGGTGGGTAGGATCGTTATTATTTTTTAAAACAACCTTTTTGTGGATTTTTTTATTCTTGCATCGATTTCATATATAAACAATTAGCACTTAGTCTGTTAGCTCAATTCTAAAACATAATGGGAATTACCATTAACATGCTAACGGAAATTAGCATCACGATTGCGGTAATATTGTCTTAATCAGCTACATCAACTCTTAAAGGGTCCAAAACCCCAAATACCCAATGGGTTTAAAACATAAACAACCACCACTGGAGACATTGAGAGGGCAGAACATGTTTATATTTTATTTATTATTCTTATAGCACTAGCTTTATGATGAGGAACAGCTAAATATTACATTTTACTAGTTGTAAGGCTCAGATCATCGGGGGACACGGAAATAATAAATAATGTTTAATTGCCTGTCAACAGCATCGTAATGGTTTCTTGATAAGTTATCGCAGGGACAACAAGTACAAAGAAAACAATAACATCTTACTTCAAAAGGTTTTTTATTTAGGAATGATGCTGGTGAAATAAAGAACATAAAACTGACTGAAATGTAATATGCATTGTTTTAATACAGTTTCTAGATTTGTACAATTCAACTTTTTCTCGTGGTAAAAACAAAAACCACAATAATTCGTAATACAGATTCAACAAGTATCAGGACTGTATGAAATCAGGAGATATCTTGTCCCAGTTTTACAATCTATTCCACTTAGAGATAAACAAGGTAGTTGATTTAATTCATTCTAAATAAAACTCATTTATGCTGCTCTAACCCAATTCTCAAGTTGACACAGTGTTTTGGTTACAGCATGGAAGTTTTCCTGCCCGCTGTAGAAACAGTATCGGTAACACCAGACTGCTGGGCAGCGAGAGCCAGGCTACAGACCACATCATTAAACAAACATCTGTAAAGCTTATCACTAATGAAGAAAATATGGCGGTGGAAACCAGGTTGCTCAAGAACTTCAACAACAGAGCTCCCATTATTACCATGATGGTGTTGAAAGCCCTCTTCTTTGATTGGTCAACCCGCTCCCTGATCCCGCCCACTGCCCCCGGCCCTGGACGAATCAGAACACAGAGAACGGAAACGCTGCAGAAAGAGACGACAACACAGGAGAACACCAAGAACAAGAAACTATAGATGAAGTACCAATAAAGAGTGAGTTGACTCAGACCCAGTGATCCAAAGCAAAATAACCAAACACACCCAATGCTGATGTTTCTGATTCTGACCCCGCCCGCCTGTTTCAGCCCCAGGTAGGTGACGGGGTGAACGACAGCCAGGTAGCGCTCCACACAGGTGAGGAGGTGAAACAGAGTCTGTCCAGGGTAGGTGATGTTAAGGAACCACAGCCCCACATTTACTACACTTTGATGAACCGTATAGGCGCCATAACAGTACACGGAAGACCCCACGACATTGATCAGATCCAGAGTGACCATGTTGAAGGTCAAGATGTCAGTCTGGCCCGCTGCAGCACAGCGTTGTTTCCTCCATCGATGGTAGCCCACGTAGAAGACGAGGATGTAGAGAGGCAGGAGCAGGGTGCTGCTGATGAAGAAGCCTGTAAAGACGAATATGTTCTTTTTGGAGATGTGGCATTCATCAAGTGTAAACTGGAGGGAGGAGTTGGAGGACGAATTGACTGACATGTCGGTTTGCATGGATGACTGGATGGACAGAAAAAGAGAGAGTATAGAAGGAGTTCTTAAACGAGAACTAGACCTGCTCTATTTGAAAAGTGTCCTGAGATAACTTCTGTTATGAATTGGTGCTATACAAATAAAATTGAATTGAATTGAATTGAATTGAAATCCAGATCTAACTATGCTCTTCTGGAGAGATTGTGGAAATATTTGCCTAATAGTCATTATTTTATTTTGAAAGAAGAAGTGAACATCCAAGTGTAAAATATATAAAGCTACTAATCTCACATGCTGTGTCGTTTCTAGATCTGAAGCTGTTTAATATCAGCTATATCACCAATTACATGACTAAACTGATAGAAGTTGTCGATCAAAAAAGCTTTATAATCAAACACAAACCTTGTCGGGAGTTGTTGTTTCGTTCTTCTGAGTCTCCAGAATCAGACTGCTGTTCAAAGCTATCCAAATGTATGTGTGTGTGTGTGTGTGTGTGTGTGTGTGTGTGTGTGTGTGTGTTTTGTATAATGTGACAGAATCACGACTGTGGAATATTTTGCATATTGCAAATCCAACAACTGATTTTATTTCACTCGGATTGACCGATATGAGTTTATCATGGCCGATACAGATAGTGATTATTACTTATCAACCAATAACTGATTATTGGAGTACAAATTAAACTCTTTGTATAAAAAAAATTAATGACCAGTGGTGCAAGTACTGTACTTTAATTTTTAGGTACTTTACTTCTAAATTATGATGTATTAGTAGAAATTAAGCAGTTCTTCCAAGAAGTTAAGATTGCAACAATTAAAGCTAATTCAACAGATCCCTGTGAATTCTGTGTCCCCCGCATAAAATGTTGAGTCATGTTACCAAACCACTAGCAATTTAATTCTCACTGGACAATTTTTTCACTTCCTTCTGCAATTTCATTGCGAAAAACGATTCCAAAAAACATCTTTTTTGAAAAGCAGCCGTGAAATCAGGTGTTTGAGGCCGCCCAGGATTAAAATAATTCAGGTGAGATGACGCAGAATTGTCAAAACGTAAACAGATGCAGATAAAAAATATGAAGCCGTTTTAAAGGGATAGTTCAACATTTGAGAAATAATTGTTTTCTTGCTGAGAGTTGGATGATGTCATGTCAAGTAGGAAGTTGCAGAAGCTGGCTAACTTAGCTTAGCACAAAGACTGGAAATGGGGAAACAGTTCTGTACAGGCTAACTCTGTACAAGGGTAATAAATAATACAATAAAATACATCTACCAACCACCTCGAACTACAAAATTCCATCGGGCACGGCTTTATAGCGTCACATCTGCAACATTCAACAAGACGCACACAAAAACCAAAGTGTAAAAACAACAATTTGCCGCCATAAAGCGAGTTATATTCTAGACTATGGATGCCTTACGCTTTGGTTTTATATTAAACGCGTGTCCTCCAAACTGCTGTCTGGGATTAAAATAACACAACTATGTAAACTCTTGTCTGCAGCAGTATTTAATTTGAATAAACACTGTCTGTGTTTGCAGGTCATTTGAATTCTATCAATGGACACAAGCACAGCTACTGAAGGAAATATCTTAAAGGGATTGTTCAACTTTTTATGCTGTAGAGTTTTATGAGGTACTTATCCATATTCAGTTAATTACTTACATCAGATTTGGAGTTTGGAGAGCTAGCAATGTACTGAAAAGAAAGTAATAAGATTTCCAGGTCAATTCAAGTCTTTTCTTCAGTGTGCACACAATACAGATCCCTTGTTCCTGCAGGTTCTGAGACATTAAGGCAGATTTTGGCAAGAATTTCCAGCATTCAACCCTGATGACCCTGTGGGGGAATAATGTGACAGGAGAATTTGCCTGCTGTGATTTACAATATGCAGTCACAAAATCCTTTGTTTTTCTACACGCAAAACAACATCAACCCACAGTCCTGCTGCTGTCTGTCACTCTGACATGTGAGCGTGTCTGTGAACGCAGCCCAGACACCAGGGCGGCCGTCAGTGACTTCAGACACAGAGGAGAGGGAAGAAAGAAACACTACCGACCAGGTGGGTGTCCCTAATAATAAGTGATTTATGAATACTATATTAAATGGCAGTGGTTTATTTGAGGTTGAAGACAAATATATTTTTATAAATTATTTCCCTAAAGAATATGCTCCATTGGAAGATCACTCATATATTAGTTCAGCTGTCAGTTTGAATGTTGTGATAAATCTTTTAATAACTACAACTCTGTAGAAATAGTTGGTTTTGTTAAATGAAAAATCAATAATAGAAAAATATTTTTTTCTGTCTAAGGGACCTTCATCAAAACAAACTGTAATTTCAAGTCTAAGAAGATCTTTTGAACATTGTGTAACATTGTTTTTTCCTTAACGTTTATTTTCTCATAAGAAACTTGAATTAAAGCGCAGAAACAACAACCCTCAATATGTATTTTAATAGACTGGCTGTAGCTGCTTGTCATACTGCACTGGAACATTAAAGAGCTTTACTGTGGTTGCCACAGATACAGAAACATAGATACCTCATTGTGGAGGTGTTAGTTAACGATACTGGGATTCTGAAGTTACCCTGTTTTATGGTGTCAAATCAAGAACGCAGTATCTACGTTTCTGTATCTGTGGTGGTTACATTTATTTACTCATTTATTACATACAAGATTAGCAATTTGACATAGTGGCCAAACTGTATAATTACCACTTTTGGGTCTGTCACAATGCACATCTTGCATAAAATCACTGGAAAGGAAGCGTCACCTCCATGAAATCACTTATTTCACTAATTTCACTGATCCCTTCAGTTCGATAACATTTGGAAAGTTAAGAGGAGCGGCTCAATTGGACCTTCAACAAAAAAATTGTTGTGTTGAAGAGTAAATTGTGAATGTAAACTTTGAGTTTTTCTCTTTGCAGCTTTATCTCTGTCTCCACCTTCCGGCTGCCATCCAAACAGATGATGTCAGTCAACTCCTCCCTCCATCTTCTCTTCAACCATTGCTTTGAATCCACAGCTGTAGTTTTCATACTCACAGCTTTCATCGTCGCCAAAATCTTTCTCCTCCTCCCTCTCTCCGCTCTCGTCTTCTACCTGGGGCACAGGCAATGGCGGCAGACAACGAGTCACTCCGACTTCTTTGCCTACCACTCCGCTGCCATGGAGCTGACTTGTCTCGTCTCCTTCGCCATCTACGTCTGCGGCACCTACGCTGACCTCACAGTGATGGCGGAAGTAGGGTTCAATCTTGGTAACATGGCTTTTCCTGCAGAGATGTTCTTTCACATCCTGACCTGTGTGGAGCGCTACCTGGCGGTCGTTTATCCCATTACCTACCTGGGGTTGAAGCATTCGGGATGGGTCAGAAACATCAGTATCGCGTGCGTTTGGCTGCTGTCCCTTGGATGGATCGGTGTGACGCTTTTGTATGTTCCTAATTTTCCCATCATCCCATTTCTCTGCTTGTTGGTCATCTCTTTAATCGTCGTGTCCCACTGCAGCGTTTCTGTCCTCCGTGTTCTGATTCGCCCGGGGCCGGGGGAAGTGGGTCGGGACGAGCTGCGAGTCGACCAGTCAAAGCGGAGGGCTTTCCACATGGTCACGGCCATACTGGGAGTGCTTTTGTTGTGGTTTGTGGGGCTCAGTGTGTGTGTCGCTCTATACTCGTCAGACCTGTTGAGTCACAGTGACGGATGTGTGGTGATGATATCTGGAGTTTGGTTCACGCTGCCCAGCAGTCTGGTGTTACCGCTGCTGTTTCTGCACAGAGCGGGAAGACTGCTGTGCTGCTGCAAAGAGTAACATTTATTGATTTGATACTATTGTTATTAATACCAGTACAGTTAATACAATACATCAATACTGCTTATCGGTCCAGTTCTTTATTGATTGCCTTTTTTATTCCTGATCAATTTTCCTGCGATGAAAAAAACACGCTTTAAGAAACATTTGATGTGTTTTTATGTTTTGATTAATTTTTTTTTTCTCATTTTCTGTGTTCCTTTTTTTCATTTAATGCCGTGTTTGGTTTTTATTTTTAACAGGACTTTGTAACATTAAGGAAAGTGCTATTATTATTATGTTAACTAAAATGATGTAATAATATGTGCAGTTATTTTAACTGGAGCCTGACTGATATGGCGACCAATAGAGTTTATAGAGCTGGACTGAAAATAGACCAATTTTGCATCGATATATCTCTGAAAATGAACTCTAAAGGCTTCTTTCTCAAACAAATAACTTCATTAAACAGTATTAGTAAAACATTCAGTTTCATGTTAAATACTTTTACTTACTTATATTTTATTTTGAATGCATTACAAGGATTTGCGTGTTGATTGAATTTCATTCTAACTTAATTTTTTGAAGATATTACTGTATTCATAAAGAATAAATGTCATAATAAATACTCCATTTTAAAATTGTGTGTTTTATTTTCATATGATCACTGTAAAGGTCTATAGAGTTCACAGAGCAAACTGATGCACAAATGGCTGGACGTGTTTTATTATTTTTGAATGGTTGCTTCTTGACTTCTATTTCAACCCTTATGTCAGCATGGATACGCCCAGCTGAAGTGTCCCTGAGCAGAGCACTAACCACCGATGCTATTCTGCAGCTCACCCTGTGTCCTGACCTCCCGGGACAGAACAGGAAATTTACCTGCAGCAATTTACCGTAAAGAAAAAATCTGCATCAGTGTTTACATGTATTATGCAAAAAACGCCACAGTCCTGTAGTCGTTGGTTCTTCACACACACACACACAGGTATTAGTTATTAGGCCCAAACACTGATGAACAGCAGTCGGGGAGTTTGCAGACGCAGGAGGACGACGATCCAAAACAAGTTACAGCTGAGGTTGGTCTCCATATATAGTAACTAATACTGTAATTTAATGCTAATATTATTATTAAACAATATATTATAACTTGGCAGTAATGTCTTCTATACTCGAGGCAAAAAGTTCCCCAATATAAACCTGACAGTGAATTCTTTTGTGTGAGTGTTAGGAGTTGTTAGATAGAAAAGTTTCTCCAATAGTTTGTGTCCAAGTTCCTCTTATAATGAGGCATTTTAAGTCGTTTTTAAGCCCATAATGACCTCTTAATGACAAATTATGTTTCCATTCAGTGTTACTCACCAAAACATATCACAGGAATTCTTAAGGGGGTGATAAACATACTGAATGTGTTATAAAATATTACAACATTACAAAGCTGATTTTTTATTGTTGAGATGCTTGAGGTTGTTCCTTGCCGCTGTCGCCAAGTGCTTGGTTATAGTGGGAATTGTTGGGTCTCTTTAAATAATTTCATAAGGGGTACAGTCTACACCTTCTGGATTTGAAAATAACTTGTTATGATTTGGCACTATGCAAATAAAATGTTATTGTTATATCTGTGACACTTTCTATGATGCCCACATTTACTGAGAATAACTTATAATCACTTTATAGTGCAATACACTATATTATAAATTATATATATATACATATATATATAATTTATAATACACTATGACCCTTTCCAAAACATTGAATCTCAATTATGAAACTTGCTCTTAAAAGTTATTATAAAATGCTTTAGAATGTGTTATGATTATTGTTAGAGAGTATTATGAATATATATGAAAACTATAATTACACATTGCTATAAGAACAGGATACTACATACAAGTGTTTATAAAGCATTGTATTTCATTATTAACAGTTATAATGTAATAAAATGCAAAACAGACACAGATAGTATGCTAGGGTAACGTTAATATGTTATGTATGCATTATCTATAAAGGATCAGCCGTGGCTTTTACTTTACCTCAGACATCTTCTCCTCCTCTTCTGGCCTCCTTCTCCATACAGTAGAAATGTCGGTCAACTCGTCTACGTCCTTCAACTCCTCCCTGTTCAACCACTGCACCGACTCCATGTCCACCATTATCATCTCTGCCTTTATCATCACCAAGACCGTCCTCCTCCTCCCTTTCTTCATCCTCATCCTCTACCTGGGCTACCAACGATGGCGGCAGAAGCGTTCCTTTGCAACAATGAGCCACACCGACATCTTCACCTACCACCTGGCTGTCATAGAGCTGATGGGGGCTTTAGGGTCTCTGCTCTACTTGTGTGGCACCCTCACAGATCTCTCAGGCGTTATGAAAGTGGGTTTCGGTCTTTCTTCTATCTCTGCCTATGGAGAGACATTTCTGCACCTCCTCACCTGTGTGGAGCGTTACCTGGCTGTTGTTCACCCTGTCACCTACCTGGGGTCGAGGCAGGCGGGCGGGGTCAGGATTAGAGATATCAGCATCGGGTGTGTTTGGCTAATGTGCTTTGGATGTTGCGCTGTATCAGTGTTGTACTATCCTGGTATGCCCTATATCGAAATTTGCATCCTCTTGGCCATGTCCTTCATAGTCGTCTCTTTCTGCAGCCTTTCTGTTCTCTGTGTCTTGATTCGCCGGCGGCCAGGGGACGTGGGCGGGGACAGGGAGTGGGTTGACAAATCAAAGAGGAGGGCTTTTTACACTATGATGGTCATTTTGGGAGTGCTGTCGTTGTGGTTTCTTGGATACTGTGTTTGTCTTGGTCTGAAGGTTGCACCACTGCTCAGCTTTAGTGACGGGTGTTTGGTGCTGGTATCGGGACTCTGGTTAAATCTGCCCAGCAGTTTGGTGTTGCCGCTGCTGTTTCTACACAGAGTAGGAAAACTCCCATGTTGCAGTTGCAACGCTGAGTAAAAAATAACTTAACACCAAACTCAAAAGCATGTCTGTAAGCCAGTCCACTGTAGTTTTTAGCCCGACAATTAGACTGAATTGTACGAAGCTCTGAAGTGGCCATAGACTGAAGAAATATTTCATATTTGACTACATCAACCACTTAAAATGCTATTGTGTGTGCACAAGATACAATTAATTCCCAAGTTTTGATTAATTTGAGGCCGCAAGGAGGTGAAGAAAAGTAGGTGGGTTGGGAGAGGTACAAGAATAGATCAAATGAACAGCCGCTGACGTTAGCTGATGTACCTACCTAGTTACGGTTAGCTTGATAGGATATATAAACCAATAGGACACACTAGCCAGTCTGCCTGACTGTGCCTGCTGCAGTAGTGGAATGTAACAAGGAACATTTATTTAAGTAAGTACTTTACTTTAGTACAGATTCTAGGTACATTTACTTAACTTTATTAATTAAAGAGTTAAGAGTCAATAACGAACCTCTGAACTATCAAGAGTTATGTAATTTCTTTAAATGTAGGTCAAGCAAACATTTAGATTTTTGCAATTTGCAAATATGGTCTAAACTGTACAATTTAAACACCATTTAGTTTATTCATTCAATTCATTTTAATGTTTAACAATGTTTAATATAGAAATGATTCACTTCTGTGTGTACTAATGAGTTATGTTGTAGTTAGTGATACTGTATTCAAATTAAGAAATGAATGTTATAACAATTACTCTCAGTTGTAAATGTGTGTTTTGGGTGTGTTTGGTTGTATAGTCTCTATGAAGAACGCTGTACTTCTCATGAAGCACATGATGCAGAGATTATTCAGATGATATTCAAATAGTGGTGCTGCTGGCCTGACTGCTGACTGCTGAATGGTGATCAGAAAATACATTTGCCTGCTTTAATTTGGCGTAAAAAGTCTGAATCGTTTTTGGAATATGCAAAGCAAAAACAAAAACAGCACTGCTCTCACCTGTTCATCATGCAAACATCATAATCAACACACACATACATATTTGGATGAGATGCCAGTGAAGGACAGTCAGAGTTTGCAGACACAGGAGACGGACGATCAGAAACTGAGGTTGGTGTTCTTGAACAGATAGTTATATAGACTTAATTATTAATGTGTATTCACTGTTGAATGGGCTGTTGACCTTTTATAAACTGATTCTTTGTGGTAACTTTATTTCCAGGATGATTTTTGTATTGGTATTGTTACCTTTTGCAAAGTCATTGTACACTTGCGCATCATTAAGTCATTAAATTTCCGGAGAAACTGAATCAACAGATTACAGAAGCGTATTGCATTCACTTGGAAAAAACATTCGGCTCTGTTTTTCTGAATTAATGACTTACGATGTCATAATGATGAGATTCATTTTCATGCAAAACATCTTTTAAAAATCAGCTCTGTTTTTCTGAATTAACCAGATATCCCCAGCACACTCTTCTTGCCCTGAACATGACCCAAATCCTGTATCCAGCCTCTAGTGAGCTCCAGCAGGCTTACGCAGGCTGTGTCTCCTGTTCACCCTCTGGAACTCAGGTGGTCTCGTCTCTCACCAGACGCACCCCAAGATTAGGCACTGGGCGTGGGCACGAGCCTCATAAATCTCCCTTTTTCCCTCCAATTTTTTTTTAGTATCTCATTCTTATGATGTAGTAAGTCATTAATGAATGAAGTCAATTATTAAGTAAATGCATTACGCGTCCGTAACTGAGCAAACTTTTGTGAGCAAGATTATTTATTTTCTCCATCATTTTAACATTGTCTCACTTCCCCTTTTGTTCTCTCTTCCTCTCCTTCTCCTCTTCAGGCCTCCATGTATACAAACATGTCAGTCAACTCTTCCTTCGCTCACCTCTCCTCCTCCAATTCCTCCCTCCATCCTCTCATGAACACATGCTTCCATTCCAGAACGTCCATTTTTGTGGTATCCACTTTCTTCATCACCTACACCCTCACCCTCCCAGTCTTCATCCTCGTCCTCTACCTGGGTTTCCAACAGTGGAGGAAACAGCGCTCCATTTCCACGGCTGCAACAAATCACTC